CCCGAGGAAAGACGAGGAACCAGCCCTGAGGAACTGCAAAGGGAGAATATTTATGACTGACTGAACAAAGACAGGAATAACGAGCTGATTGGGAGCAGGTGTGAACAGAGGCTTCTAGAAAGAAGCTATGGAAAAGGAGAACAGCAACACAGGGCAACAAAGAAAACCTAAGAACTCAAATATATCCAGAAAACAAAACAAAATAGGAGTTAAACCAATAAAACTAGGAAACATGGAGCAAAGTAAAACTGAATACTCAAAAGAAACTTAACAGAAAGACCGTGACGGAATACCTTTTATTTAATTAGAATATATAATATGTAATGGGATGTTTATTAATAAATTTGTCATAACTATTTTCCCAATTGATATAACTTGGAGTAAAGCGGCTCTCTTTATAGCTCTAGCTGTATGTTTAAGATCAAAGTGTTCCTCAGTCTTAAGCAGTGACTGCCTCCAAACACTTGTGTTCATGTTAACTTTTGGTTTAACTTTCTCCATCATCTCTCCACAACTAAGAGTAGATTCCCTATCTGTGCAGAAGAATGGGATCCCCATGCCGTTATACTGGCACTACCATCATTAAATCTGTGGAAGATGCAAAGCTTTTTGTATGAAAGCACCATAGTTATTTCCTAGTTTCTCATGTTTTTTTCCATCTTTGCTGCTGTGTCCATTACTCGCTTGAGGGTCACTTAAGTTAGGACTCCAAACAACTGTTTTCGTCTTGCTACTTTTTAGACAAACAATGTTTTGTTGAGTACATGACTAATTATTCCTTTTCAAAAGATTGTCCTATTAAATCTACTCCATCAGAGTTATGAATGAAGTGCTGTCCGCTTAGCAGATCAATGCTGTCCTTACCCAACCTGTCAAGGGTGGGCTGGGATATTAATTGCAATTCGAATATAATCACAATTTAATAAAACACAATTTATTAGATTGCAGAGGCATTCAATTTTGGCCACAATACATTTGATAAGAGCAAGACACTGGCTTTCTTACTCCAGCCCTTTATGTGGTGGTAATACGCTTAAAGTTGCATCGCTGGTACACAGAAAGGAAGAGTGAGTTTTTCACTTGCAACTAGAAAGAAGCACATCAAAGTGGTAACACTAAAGTCCTGTTGCATTCTGGAGCTTTCAAGGCTATGAAAACAATGAAGCCCTTGAGTAAAACATCTACATGCAGGGGGTTATGGCAAAGAAAAATCAATATCTAACATTTTTGAACAATGAATCAAATTGAATGAATTGAACAACAAACTTCGAAATGCTGAAGTGGAATTCCAAAGTTTGTGTTATGCTTTATATCCTGAATCATCGTCTTGAATTCACTGTTTGTTCACTGATGTTTCATTGCAAATATCTCAAACATGTATAGAATTGCTTTCAATATAGTAGGATCAAATTAAAATGAGTTTGACTCTTTTTACCAGTAAAGTACTGGATTCATTCCAGTAAAATGTTTGCACTGGAACTCCTTTAAGGTAATGGATTTAGGCCCATTAAGAAAACACAGTTTACACTTTTGATATTTTTATTGTGAACATGTGATTTTTCTTACACTGCACAATTATTTGGCAGTGGTTAAGCATCTATGACACAAAATCTCAACAGAATACATTGGAGCGTGGTATTGTGACATAATAAATATCCAGGGGTCTGAGTACCTTTTCAGTGGTTATGTACTCTTGAATTAGTAATTATTCTCTCTTGAAATTAATGCATACGTCATCTGTAAATTTCTTTTCCTATGCAGTGCATGTTTGGTAAAGCTCTTTTTGGCTGAAGAAGAGGCAATTTTCCTTTACTTTGGTAGGCATTGAACAGGGATGTCTAAATTACAGCTCTGTGTAAGAGTCACAATAAGCCTGCAATTATTTTACATGTTTAAATGATTTATGCTTTCTTCTAAAGCCTTTTTTTCTCAAACGCCCTTAATGTTATGTTCCATTCACATACTTTGGAATACCTAATATATAATTACTAAAATGCAGCAGTAACATGGAGAAATGGGTATAAAGTCTAGCATTAGAAGTTGTATTGCTTAGAATTGCTTCAGTTAGAAAATAGCAAGTGTGTTTTTGCTATACAGTATATTTGGATTTACCAGTGAGTTAAGATTACATATATCAAATCAGTACTTGGTGCTCAGCTAAGCATTCATTTCTGTAAATTATGTGATCAAACTATTAATACAGCTACAGAACATAAATGTTACTATAAGAAGATATGTCCTTGCATTTTCTTATCAATGTAACTTGTTCTACTTTAATGTGCATTCATTTATTAATCACAATAAATCATTATGAAAACAGCTGCCCAGTGTAGTCACACACACAAAAAAGGACTGTATAAAAAAAAAAACATTCTCCAGAATAAATATACATTTGTCCTACTTATTTTATGCTCCCCAACTCAAGAATAACCCCCATGGTCATACATCAGAACTGTATGTTCCACTTAAGGTGATCCTGGAAATTCACCATGAGTCAAACTTCTTAGTCATTGAGCTCTGTCTTACATGTACTTTTGGGCTTTTGGGGATGTTTTTTCATCTTAAATGCTATCCATTACAGTAATATTTGTTGCAGACAGAAGACAACTGCTTGAGAGAAAACCGTTTTGTAGAGGCAAACAGATCAATGAAGTACATTTTTAAATTCAGTATTTTAGGAAGAGTACTTTCTGGATTTATCAGCTCTTCAAACCAGCTGTTCATGACATTTTTGACTGATTTAACTTGTGATCTGGATATGTGTAACTTTTTGCTAATTAGGAAATTTATTCCCTGATTGATGGATAATAGGGTCAGACCCTCTTCAAAACTGCTACTGCATTGTTAATTAGTGCATGCTGTACAACTATTGCAAGGTTAATTATGGTCAAGGTTTGTTTATGCGAATGGGTAAAGAAGACTGTCCCTTTGTGGTCTTATTTAACAGATGAGCTGCTGTAACTTAAACTACCTAAAAAGTTATTTTTGGTTCTAATAGAAAGGTGTCAGAATATGGTATATTACTGGATAAGGGTGTCATAAATTGCGACAGATGGACCCAATATTCAAGGTGAGACAGCCAGTAGAAAAGTTCAAAATGTTTATTAATACAAAAGCAGGATAAGTCAATGCACTGTGAACAAGACAGGGCTATCCAGAGCGTCCCCGATGCAGAAACCAAAGTGAGCAGGCTGGACTCCGATCCAGGTCAGGGATTCTAATCAGACTGGCGTAGTAGTGGAATCCAGGAGTCCGCAGTCCAGTCAAGGCACCAGAGAGTAACGGACAGTTCTGGGTTTCAGGAATCCATCAGAGCTTGAAGGCAGGTTCAGAGTCCTATGCGTCGAACATCCAGCTCAGACAGAAATGCACCTGGGAGGCAGAATCCAGCAGGTGAACAGATCAGGCAGGGACAGACAGGGCCAGTGCGTGAGAGGGAATGGAATCAGGAAAACAGAACCTATAGGGAAACGCTGAAACGCTCTCACCACTGGTTACGGAATAACTCACCTGAGGACAGTGGCTTGAAAATAAACTCCTCACTGGAACATGAAACATAGAAATAAATCTAAAAATAACAAAACTGACAGACAGGACACTAACAGAAGACAAACAGGGAACAAACAATGATCTGGCCCTGATAGCTGAAACTGAGCCCAATATAAGGGAAACCGGTAGGTGGATTAGATAAGTGACAATTAGTAGCTGGACAGAGTTAAGCAGGTAAAAGGCGTGAGTAATTAAGGTCAGCTATCAGGGCAGATCATGACAAAGGGACTGCATGACTGCAGATTATTCAGGAATGCACATGCTTGGCAGAATACAGTGTACATGCGTACATGTACAAAATACATTATGTTCTTTTAAATTGCCTATTCAATGATGCAAAGAACCAGTTTTGCTGGTACTCAAGATGCACAGAACCAATTTTTCCAGATCCAATCTGATAGGGATACCTTGGCTGTGCTTATCGTCCAATACTGATACTACCTTTTAATGAACAATCTGTATACCTTATATAAGTAACAGGATAAGGCTTGATGTAAACATTGTTAAGCATAAAGGTAAAAAATGAACACATATATCTAAATATACCTAATATTGTTTTTTTTTAAATACAAAGTGTAAATTTCCAGCAATATGACATAGCACTTCAGAGTAAAGTGCAGTGGAAACATATCTACACCGACTATATAGCTCTAAATGTATTGTTGTTTATGTTCTGTTTATGAATCGGAATAATGCTCAGCATTATTTATCTGAACTAGATATCTGATTGATGCATCTATAGTCAGTACAGGATTAGAAGATAGATCTCAAAGCTACTTGAGGAAAGGCCTTGAAAATTCTATACTTCCATGTTCTACATCTGCTATCACAGTTATTTAGAAAACAAGGGTGTGTGACACACTCATTGATTTTTGTATACTGGTGGCCACCTCAAGCGACTAATTGACAAGAGCTAGACCCCTGGCAGTTTACCAGCTCATAATGAGGCAACACAGTAGTGATCAGCACATACAGAGCCTTGTAACCAAGGGGAATTTAGAGGAGCGTAGCAGAATTCATGTAGCTGGGGTGTAAGAGGGATGCCCAGAGAGATCTCATATATGAACATGGAGAACATGCCCGATTCTTAGCTAAATGTCCCTTGCCCTGATTAAATTCCAGGCCAGTACTTTTTTGCCTTACTTTAACTGGTCTAACAACTGTGCAAACCATCGATCAACCTTATAAATCAAATATCATTCAACTCTGGTATAACATCTCCACTAAACAGGAAAAAATGCAAGACTGTCAACTATATATATTTGAGTAAGTTATTTTCTAACTTCCATAACAGGGACTACTTTAGAATCTCTTTGTTTATGGAGAAGTTACTATTAACCTTATCTTGGTTTATCTTTCCTTTTAATGCTGTTTTTATCTGTCTTTCTTCCTGCTATTGAAATTACAGAAAAATTAACAATTATCACTCCTATCCTTTCATCTCCTTGCAGGAGTGACTACTGTCCTCACCATGACTACTCTCAGTATCAGCGCCAGAAACTCTCTCCCTAAAGTGGCCTATGCCACAGCTATGGACTGGTTCATCGCTGTTTGCTACGCCTTTGTGTTCTCTGCCCTCATTGAGTTTGCCACAGTCAACTACTTCACCAAGAGGGGTTATGCTTGGGATGGAAAGAGTGTGGTCCCTGAGAAGGTACTCATTCATTTTTGAAGGCTGCCTGTTTTAGGATATGTTTTGTCTGTCTATTAATATTTATCTGGATGAAGTGATTGCAAAGAGTACAACAAAAAAATCAGTTGCACATACTTCACCCTTAAACAGGATATGTTTTAGGTATTAAACTCAATGCATTTTAGGTTATTCTAAGATATATAATAAGTAACTGTTCTCCCTGTAGAAAAATGTAATCTCTAGTATAGTTTTTTATCTCTATAGCAGTTGTATTTAGTTGTGATTCGGACAGTTTAACCCTCCTTATTTTATATCAAATTTACATAGTTTTAAAAATTATTAATTGATATTTATTTAAAAATTATTAATGTAAGTCATCTATATCTGGAAGCATTAAAAAAATACAACCACACACATTATTTGACAAAAAATGTAAAGGTGTATAAAATGACTTGACTGATTACTGAATACAAATAAAATCATGTTTTCACCCTTAAAAGATCCTTCCTGAGTCCTGTTAGTTAAAGATAAAATATATATATATATATAAATAAAACTTTACAAGCATTTTAGGAAAAAAAGGTATCCTAAATGATTTTCTATTTGATTGTTACACAGCAAGTTGGTTCTGATGGAAAAAATGTTGCAGTCTTCACATCATCTAATAGAAAATGCTATTTGAGAAACATGACATAAACATTAATAGTTTAGTGTTCATCTTGTGCTTTCTGCTCTACTTGTCTGCATGCTATAGTTAGCAACACCACTCTATATCCTCCAGCTGTTTTGTAGAGAACAAGGCAAAACTCAAATCCCTTTTATCCATCTAACAATTTTTTAAAGGTGAATGTTCAATTATGGAGAAAACAGTATTTTAATAAAGATACCACAATGTAATAGGTAAACAATTAAATGTATATTTATTTTTGTTAACTTCCATACTCTGCAATTGGAAATATATTTACTGTAAAATATCATCTACAGACAGATGAGACTTTGTGGTTCCCAGTGTGATTTTTTCAAAGTTGGGCAGTTTTTGAACAGATTTTAAGTGCTGTTGTCTTTTTTTATTTATTTTTTTTTTTTTTTGTCTGATATTTTCCTAAGAAAAGAAATGTGTTTTTATTTGTTTAATTAGAAAATTATCAATAGAAAAATATCAGTATTTGTGTAAATAATCGACATATATATATATATATATATATAATCTATAATCTATTTTTCAATTAGCGAAATAATTAATTAAATAATTTACCTTCTACAGTAAATGATGTTCCAATTCCTGAGATGCATCTGCATTTTTAGCAAATGAAAAATAATTATGTGAAATGTTTCATGGTTTCTGTAAATGTAGATCTTGATATACTTTTGTTTTTTTCCCAATTTTTTCTCTAAAAACTAAAAATAGCAAAAGAAGAAGAAGGAGTCTCTCTTGAAGAAGAATAACACAACAGCTTACCCCCCTACCACTGCGACACCATTTGCACCCAATCCTGCCAGGAACCCTGGATTGGCCACAATCGCCAAAAGTGCTCCTCCACCCCCAGATGAGCCCAAGGAGGAGCCAAAACCCAAGCCCCCAGAGGCCAAGAAGACCTTTAACAGTGTGAGCAAGATAGACAGGATTGCCAGAATAGCCTTCCCTCTGCTCTTTGGAACCTTTAACTTGGTCTACTGGGCAACCTACTTGAATAAGAAGCCCAAATTGCAAGGGGTCAATCACACCTAATCCATCTTTTTTGTCCTTTTAACTCCTTATTTTATTTATTTTTTGTTCCTTTAACTAAAAAGGTTATTTTGAGATAAACATTGCGTCCACTCTGGTTTGAATACCCAGTTATTGCATTGCTTCTATGTTTATCTAAACTTTGAAGATCTAAAAAGAAACATTACAGAAAAAAATAATAATTCAGACTTTTGAAAGGGTGTGTTCAGGTCCAAGAGGATGCTACTACAAAATACTATAACTATCTAGCCAAGTGAACGATATTCTGTGTCATTGCCCAAGTTTATCCTGTGGCAACACTTCTGTTTACTTGTTTGATTATCTCCCTTTTTTTTCTTTATTTTCTTTAACCTTTTTAAAACACGAAATTACGGATAGTATAAAGGCACCTGTGAATATGCATGGGAAGGACATTCTATGATTTCTATTTGTTCTATCCAAATTCAGAGCCGTGTTGACTGATGGCTTGGGTTATTTGATGTCACCAGTGCTACGCTCATTCTTTCTTAAATATATCTTCCATTCTAGGTATAATGTTTATTAGATTGTGTCATTCTTGAAAAAATATATATATTTTATTGTTTTCCTGCAATAGCAATAAAACATGTCTCAGTAGACACCGTTTATTTAGTGGACAAAAAGATACAAAGTTTGAATCATCTCTGTGCTCAGAACTAAAAATATATGGATTTCCTTTCACTTTATTGTAAATATTATCAAGTGTTAGAGATGTCTTTATTATACTTAAGCTTTGCGAAGTGTAACTAAATGGGTGTTAACAGAATCAACCGAAAGGTAACCTTTTTTTTTTCTCCCATTTTGTTTCTGTTTATCTCTAAACAAATGGAGCATAAACTGAGACCATAATGTTTGAGTGACTGTTTCTCACCTAGTCAACATTCCACACTAAATCTGTTTCAAATTGTATTTAAATATTATTCAGCTCGGTGTTTGTGACCACACAAAAGCACCAACAGCAACATTAAAATAATTTCTATTGATGGCTAGTTGTAAGCAAGAATGTAGAACCATCGCAATTATCGGAATTAAACACAGCATTTGTTGACACTTTTTTCTTTCTGTTTATTTTTAATTACTTTTCAATTTTGAGTATATTAGGTGGGATCTCTTGCTAAGAATTAAAAAACATTTATAGAATTGCATAGTTCGAATCAGTACAAAAAAAAAAGTAGTGGGGCACATTGAGATGGGGGAGAAGTGCCTTTATCATTTCCAAAATTGAACTTACAGAAGATTTGTAGATAGATGGCACATCCTTATTTTCCATCCCACTGAATCCCAAACATTGACCACGTTTACTACAGCTTCCAGATTCACTGGAAAAAAAATTGAGACAATACTCAGAAAGTACCAGCTACACTGCCTTTCAGTATCACATGCTCAGTTCGGAGTCATTTTGTTGCTGCTTGTTCGGTTAGCAACGAGAGACGAGGACAGAGAATGAAAGAGACAAAAGGGGTAAAAAGACAATGAGTTGAAGTGGCATTGAATCTTAGGTAAGTCGGCGCTGTGTTCTGCACAGAGAACTTGTCTTGTAGTTCTACGACAGTGATGAAGACAAATATATTTTTGTAGCATGATGTCAATCCCTCTTCCAACCAACGTAAAGTGAAAATAGTATTCGAATTTGAGTTTTCAACATTGTTTGCTTCCTTTTCCTTGTTTGAATAAAAAAAACACAGACTTTTAAAAAATGCTTCTCCTCTGATGTGACATGTAAAGGTTTCTAAACAGTCCAAATTTAAATTATGTTGATGTAGCAATATTCATTAGTAAGGGCTTTTCTTAGGACCTGAACCTGACACTCAGTCTTGGGGGTGATATCCGTTGTAGCTTTACACTTACCCATCTGTACTTGTAGTTTCATGTGTGCTGGACATGGAAAATTATCTTTTGATATGTGGGTAAAAATACCAGGCTTTATGTCATCTTGGGTTATGAATCCTTCAGCTGCAATTCTGACCTTCCTTAACAAAATTAGATAATCACAGTGCTACTTTGTGTTTCCTTAGTGTGCTGTGCTGAATGTATTTTACATTAGATTGACTTAAACCACATACATATGATAACTGTAGGGCTGTCCCTACGAAACCTTGCAAAAATGAATACTCCTTGTACTTTTTTTTTAACATTTTCTTGTGCTGGCAAGGTATGTTATTCAGACTTTATATGATTCAACAACACACAGTAGTATATAAATGTCAAGTGGAAGGAAAGAGGAACAAATTCTTCTTATTTGTGGGACGTACATTTGTATTCAACCCCCAAAGTCGATATTTTTAAAACCTTTTGGGAAATGTCTCTTAGATCTGCATTGAATTTCTATCCTTTTCCTGTTACAAAGAAACCAAAATGGATAGTGAGTGTCTATAATAGTATTTCTGGTCTTGCAAGAGACTGTCAATTGAATCTAGTTGCATCCAGCACAGTCTCGAGTCCAAAAGACAACTATACGGTTTTCCTCCACAATTATTGTTTATTCTACTATAATTTCTGAGCACCTTCCCAGGTTTGCAGAAAACAAACAACACAAAAAAACCCTCGCAGGATTATTTAAAGTAGTTGCTACCATGCTTTACCATAATAAAGGCTTGGTTTTCTAGTACATTTAAACAATACTCAGTAAAATGTTGGAAATTGTCTTTTTTTTTTTTATGTCTTACTGTAGCTTAAATCAAATTCTATTCCTGACCAAGCTGTTGTGTTCCTTGGTCTTTATTGTGTTTGCTGATGTCTAATGTTAAAGGCCTAACCTCTAAGGCCTTCAAAAACAGCTGACTCTATGACAAGATTAAATTATACACTGCTGTTTACTGTTTAGATTGTTTAGGAAATCATTTTGCAACGCATTTTTTTTAGGTATCAGAGTAAGAAGGGTTGAATACATATGCAAACCACACAAGTTTTTATTGCTAAAAACCATGTGCGATCTACATGTACCTTTCACTTATCAAATATGTACCACTTTGTGTTTGTCTCATGAAATTTAAATGCAATTGATTCAAGTTTGACTTTGAAATGTGAAAACAGTGGAAAAGTTCAAGGTGTTTGAAAACTTTGCAGGGGAATGCATTTTTTGTTGTGCTTTCTAAAACTTACTCTGCTACCTGAAGGAACAGAAGAATTGATCACGCTTTTTTTGTACTGTACTTCACGTCACTGTTTTGATCACATTTAATTTAACCCTGGATGGAACGCTTTTTGCAAGCATATGCAGTCCACTCTTCACAGCCACTTTACCTACAGGCAGAGGGTCGAGGAACTTTGAGGTTCAGGATAAAGAGTTGTACAAAGATGTTTGAAGTAAAAAAAAAGAAAATGTACTTTATTATCATGATGAAATATATATATATAGATATATACATATGTAAAATACATGATACAGCATTTGATTATATTATTGACAAATTAGCAAAGATGATAAATATTGTTTGTATTAACAACCTATTGTTATGCATTTTGCACATTTAAAAAGAACAATAACATTACGTTTATGTAGTCAATTACGTGCTATGCAAGGACAGCTTGAAACACGTCATTGACCTTTTTCTTCATTACCATTGAAATTTAGATTTGCTAGTTGTAATGATAAAAAAAATTATAAATATATATATTTAGCTTAGCTTGAATATCCATCGCACACCAATTATCTTGTTTCTTTGCTCCCAAGGATGGCCATACAGGGTGACTTTGAAAAACACAAAAGATTATCTCTTGTTTGTGCTAGGGGTTTGTATTTGGTCGGAAAAAAATGACTTTCGATGTTCATTGCACTTTTTCTCTTGGGTCGTGCAATAAAGGGATTGAGCTGAATGAAAAAAAATATAATTAGAAGCAAAATTGTAACAAAATCCCCCTGGTACGAAAACATGCATGCAGGTTTTAGAGCTCTGTTTTTTGTTGTTGCTTTTTGTTAATTGTTTTTGGTAAATTACAAAACTTAAGGGAGGTAAACATTTAATTTTATGAAATGATTTTTACTTAATCAATTTGCTAAAGACAAACGACCACTAAATTCAACATTATTTCTGACTTTACTAGTTAAAATGAACAAATAAATGTGAATTTTTTACAATTTTAAAGTTAGAAGCATATTGCCTATGTATTCAGAGAAGGAACTAACAGCGCCTAAATACCATATTCAAATATCTATTGTCTTTTTTGCCAGTTCTGGTTTTGATACATTTATCTCTAAGAATGTGAAATTTAAGGCACAGTGCAGCCATGAGCTTCCTACTATTACCTTCACCTATTTCAAATGTAAATATCACATACCCATGGGTACAAGGCAGTTTTCATCAGCACATGCTTTCAAACACTCTTCGGTCTTTTGGTTATTCCTTGGTACCTGCTGGAGTATTTTTCTTGTATTTTCATCAAGCATAATATATGCTGATTTTCACATAAAAGAACTTTAAAAATAGTAATTTTCCAAAGCACAAAAGGTTGATTAGGGTGAAAGAACCTACTACAAGATTGAATTCATATGGACATTCGAAAAACACCCAAAATGCACACAAGTTCAAATATTCACATGCGCCAGATATGCTGGTAGTTCAGTGATACTGATGGAGGGTTGTGATTGATGTAGATGAATTGGTAAACCTTCTGTAAATGTTCTTTTTTTCTTTTTGTTTTGGTTATGACATGGCCCTGTAAATCCTGATTCTCTGCATTAGTCTTTAAATAAAAAGAAAACAAATGACTGGTTTGTCTAATTTTGTGAATCACTAGACAGGTTAGAAATGTTTTTGTTGTCTTCTTTCTTATTATTTAATATTAGGACTAGAAAAATGTAGAAAGAACGGTATAGATCACAGAGTTGTTTTATTGATAATTATCTCTAATTTCCCTTTAGAATCCATTAATTATTTAAATAAATTTTTAAACAAACAAATTCACAAAAAGTAAAACTACTTTTACTAAGAAATATAGGATATATCATTCAATCTCTGTGAATACAAATTTAAAAAAAGGCTTTAAGGCATTAATAAATTAAACCTTTTTGAACATTTTCTAAACATTACAGCAATAGAATAGCATTTTACTGCGACTACTTTTCTCCATGGCTAAAGCTAAGATCTTTTGCTTATGTAGACCATAGAGCCAGCTTTCTTTAGCAGTCTGTCCAGGTGTCTAGTATCCTTCAGCATAATACTATGTCCCCCAGCTTACAACAGCATAAACAAGGACACTGGCTTTGACAGATTGGAAACACATACCGTACACTGTCTTACAGACATTGAGACAACCTGAGGAAGTGACTCTGCCCTTGCTTTTTACACACACACATACACACTATATATATATATATATATATATATATATATTTTATCTTTAACTAACAGGACT